CAGGTTTGACCCGCGAAAAAAAAAAAAAAAAAAAAAAAAAAAAAAGAATTTAAAGATGACAGCAGCAGAGCATTAAATCAAGCACAGGGTCCTCTGAGAACACACATCACACGACCGTGAGGTCAGCCCCACTCCTGAGATCCTGTGGTCAATACAGCAGCACAATCTGCACAGAACCCTGGGCTCTGCACAGGACTTAGACTTCTGGGCAATTCATCCCACAAGTCTGGCCACTTTTCCAGGTGACAGCCCTTGACAGTGACTAAATGTTCTGAATGAGATGTCCCGTTACAGATGTTATCTTTGAAATGCTACTGATTATCGAGTTACTACCTACTGGTCATCATAAATTCCATATCAAACAAATTTCCAAGCCACTTTTCTTTATTCAAACTAAAGGGAGAAGTGCAGTCTTCAACAAGGTGGGCCAAAAAAAAAAAAAAATGACGTAAAACATATGTGTGCACATGGCTACATAGTCAGGGCAATGGCGGTGTTAAATGCTCCTCAAAAGTAAACCTGCAGATATAATATATAACTCAAAGTATGGAGCCAGTTTGCTCTATTTTTATTCCACTTACACATGCTGCTGTAAAGGAATGAAACAAGAGTCTTTTCTTCCAAAAAAAAAAAATCTTGGGGGAAATATGACCCAGTTAAAATCTGAGCCAAATGTATGAAAAATACAATGCCCAGAACTTCTGTTTCCAATGAATTCAAGGTGGGTGTCCAAACGAGAAAGCCCCCATGCAGGTCTCACTGGGATAAATGATGCCTTCATCCTGCTATGTGAAGAAGCTGGAGGGAAAGCGGTCTTCATTCCAAAAGTGATTTTGACAGGTGAAAGCTCAAATGTTTAACCAAACTCCTGGAACAATAAAAAGATGGAGGATTGCCCAAAAGGCCTCCCCGGGCCCCACCTGTAGGAAACAGGAGACTCCCCGGGGTTGACAACGAAATGCTACGCGGGTCGCAGTGTCAGTGTCAGACCATCGCCTTGGATCACAGAATTCTCAGCCCTGCATGTGCTCTGCAATGTTTATGCTGATGGCAGACACAGAATCGAAATGCAGAAGAAAGAAAAGGCCAGATGAGCCGAAGCTGCTTCTTCTTGAGAGCCACTTTTGTAAGATCAGCCAGGGCCCAGCCTCCCAGAACCCACCTGGATCTCGGCCTGCTGGAGGCTTCCCAACCCCACATCCAGCCATCACAATTCCCACATAATTCCTGGCTCTGTACCATACTGACCATCAAACCACACACATTCTCTCAAACTACTATATTAAGCAGTGTTGCTTTTACTTTTTTAGTTTTTTAGTTTTTTGAGACAGGGTCTCACTATGTAGTCCAGGCTGGCCCTGGTCTCACTTATTAGGAATAACTGTGCCTCGGATAAACCTCACTGGTTATGATAATGCCATTGTGCAAAGCTCTGAACTCACTGTGTAGTCTAAGCCAGCCTCACACTCGCAGCAATCCTCCTGTCTTAGCTTTGAGAGTGCTGGGTGCACAAGAGAAGCAGTTTTTGTTCGTTTGGTTTTCTGATTTTCTTGAAATAGGTTAACTATGTAGTTTAGGCTAGCCTCAAACTCATGGAGATCCTCTTGCCTCAGCCTCCTGAGTGCTGGGATTGCAGCGTTGTTTTCAAATGAGGGCAGTAGCTTTTTTACTTTGGGGGTGGGTGGGTAGAAGATTAATTTGAGCTACTACATTTCTGGGATGGAATTTCCCCCCATCATTTCTGCACATTGGTTCCCAGTCCTGTACAGCAGTATTCCATGGAATAGGGACACTTAGGGGACAAACCAGCTATTTTTAGGCATTTTTTTTCCATCTCTGCTCTTATCAGGAGGGGCCCGAACCCTACAGCCTCTATCCATAGCATCCCTGGAAGCCAAGGCTGGCACCTTCTCACCAGGCTGTCAGTGATTTACAGGGGTGACGGTGGTAACCCACGAGGACAAAGGCAATGGGTCGTCCTTTGACCACAATACAGCAGCTGCCCAGTTACAAACAGCACCAAGAGACTGCAGGACTCAAAAGAACAACAGTGTGTGCACCTGAGGCTGTCACCAAGGCCACACCCGGCACCATGAGCTGGCCATTTGGGTAAAGGATGCCACGTCTTCTATTCCCTACCACCCAGCTCTACTGCCCTTTGGGAGGAGGTGTGGCAGAGTGATTCCAAGAACAGGCTCTGGAACAAGCAGCTCAACTAGTTTTGTCACTTTCAATAGTCCGCCCCTCTCTGAGCCTGGTTTTCCATGTCTACCAAACAGGAATGACTACAGTCAACAACTTGCCTGGGTCGCTGTTCGGAGTAGGTTTGGTGTAGGTAGGTTTGAGAATGCCAAGAGCTGAGCACAATGCCTGGCACACAGTAGGCTGTTCATAAACATCACCTCTCCCTCCTACACTAATTCGCCTAATACGTAAGTGCTGCTCTTCCTCACAGCCCAGAGCCTGGGAGCCATCATCCAGTGCTATGTGCAAGGAAGAAACAAAAGTGCCCTGTGAACTAACATGTAGTTTACGTGTTCCACCTGTCACTCTCTGAGTCAAGTGATGCATCAGGAGGGCGAGGACCCGGCTTTCCTGTTGCAAGCAGACACGGTGGCCCAGCGTACTGCTTTAGGTCTGAGGGCTCTGCGGGGACACTACCAAGCTAAGCAGCTACAGAGACCCCGAGTAGTGCGCTCCTGGATTTCAGTACTCTGGTAGGTTGAGGCAGGAGGGTCACAAGCTTGAGCCCAGCC